CATATACAATTAGCCGTTTGCCTCTTTCGTAATTGCAAAATCACCAAATCCTCTTAAAAGCGTAACCGCAACTAACCCCATACTTTACTTAGCATAAATCGGCACTTTAATATTTATTCCTTAAATATCCCCGTCGCTATAGTAAAACCGTTATACCGGATTGATAAGAGGTAATTCCGGGTGTAACAATACTTTCAAATCTTCACAATATTAGCTCTCGTTAATGTTATTTAAAATTATTTCTAAGTACATTTTCTCTAAATTTACTGTAAACCCATCGTGCTGTACATTTAATGTTAACTAAACTCGTATGGCTTATCAAACCAACTTATGGAATCAAAAGTCGCAAATTGAAGATTGAAAGCCATGCATTTTTCTTTTTAATCCTAATACTAAGAATTACACTCGCAAAGAATTTTCCGGAACGTGATTTTACCAATTAGATCGAAGAAGCAGGTATAACATGAATATCACGCATTTTTGTCAAAAAATCGCTAATAACTCGATGAAACTGCCTTCCGCGTTCTAACAAAAAAAAAAAAAATTCCTTGCAAAATTTTGGTATAAACTATGTCCTCTCTTGGCCTTAATCCTAACCTTAAAGATGTAGTTTATTGATTTAAATCTCTTAATTCGATTGTTTTGATTTTTACGTTACACCTGCTCCTTCGATATAATTGGCTAAAAATCACGTTCCGGAAAATTTTTTGTGATCAATGACAGATTCCCAATATCTAAAAAAAAAAAAAAAAATTTTTTTTTTTTTTTCTTAACACTCTTTATAACTGCGTCACGATGAACACGACAAATATTAACAGGACTTCAAAAAAAAATTCAACTTCGAAAAACGAAAAGTCAAAATCTAGTAAAAAAAAGAGTAAAGAAATTGGATCTTCTGTAGCAAATGGTAACCCCACCGAATTAGCTTCAAAGAATAGCAAGCATGAAATAACTGCGAACAGCCTCGATAATAATTCTATTGTCGTTGAAAAAAGTTTTAAAAAAAAAAAGGTGAAAGATAAGGATGAAAAAAATACTGTTAGTAGTCGTTCCAAATCTAAACGAAAAGAATATGAAGACAAGCAAAATGATGAGAATGATGATAATGCTCTAATAGCATTCAATGGAAAATTACCAAAAACGAAGAAACAAAAAGTTGATAACGATGCTTTGAAATCTGGAATAAATGATAATATTGTTACAAATAATATGGAGACAATCTCTATTGAAAGCGAAACTGAAAAAATAAATGGAACCCCAGATCATTTAAAACTTTCTTCGTATAGAATTACGAAAACAACTGCTGATTCATTAAAAAAACGTGGAATTGAATCATTGTTTCCCATACAAGCCGCTACTTTCGATTTTATTTATGATGGAAAAGATATTCTGGCTAGAGCTAAGGTTTATAGAAGTTTCATATCTCAATTTTATACGAGATTTATGTTTTTGTCTTCAAATCTATTAATCCACAAATTTTTTTTGATTCTGTTTAAGTAGACTGGAACTGGTAAAACACTAGCTTTTGCATTACCCATAACAGAAGTCCTTTTAAAATTGCATGAAGAAGGCAGCCTCAAAAATGTTCATCGTGGCCGTGCTCCAAAAGTCATTATTATGACTCCTACGCGCGACCTTGCTAAACAAGTTTCAACAGAATTCGAATCAATAGCACCAAACTTAAAAGTTTTATGCATTTATGGTGGTGTTGCCTATGATCCTCAAACTCAAGGTTTGCGTAATGGTATTGATGTTCTCGTTGGTACACCGGGTAGAATTTTGGATCATATTGATCATGGCAATTTAAAATTGGGTGATTTGAAGTTCATTTGTTTGGATGAAGCCGATCAAATGTTAGATATTGGCTTTGCAGATTCTATGGAAGCGGTATTGCAACATGTAAAACAGCATAAAGCAAATCAAAATAAAGGCATTGACTATCAAATACTCTTATTTTCGGCGACGGTTCCAGATTGGGTAAAAAATACCGTCAAAAAATATTTGAGGGCTGATTATGTTAATGTGGATTTGACTAGAAATACAGATACAAAAACCAATGGTGACAAATACATCTTATATTAAAATATGTATTTAAATTTAAAAAAAAAAAAATTACTTACTCATTTATGCGTCTTTAGAAAACATTCGCCATATTGCTATCCGTTCTACGTGGAGATCAAGAAAAGATATCATTGGTGATGTTGTAACATGTTATGCTGGTTCAGGTTCATGTGTAATCTTTTGCAATACCAAGAATGATGTAAATGGTGTGTTTATGAGTCATTCCTGAATTCTAAAAGTTAAATTTATAATTGAATTTATATTAATTTTTTAATTATTTTATTAATCTTTCAACTATCAGAACTTGTGCTTAATGATAAACTCAAGCAAGATGCGCAAGTATTACATGGTGATATTGTGCAAACGCAACGAGAAATCACAATGAAAGCCTTTCGAGAAGGAAAATTTAAATGTATTATCTGTACTGACGTTTTAGCCAGAGGAATTGATATTCCACAAGTTGGTCTGTTTATTATATATTGAATAGAATTTAGTATTCTTATAATTATTTTATTTTATTAAATTTTTTCATTTCTTTTTGCATATAGATCTGGTGATCAATTGTGAGCCACCAAAAGATATTGATAGTTATGTGCATCGAGCTGGTAGGACAGCAAGAGCAGGACGACAAGGAATTGCTTTAACGTTCTTTAAAGCACAAGAAGAATCCCGTATTTTGAATATTCAACGGTGTATTGGTGTTACTTTTCAAATTGTAGGTCCGCCTCAACCGCAAGATATTATTGCTGCTACAGCGAATGATGCTGTAAAAAATCTAGAAGCTGTTGAAAGCAACGTATTACCTTATTTTTACTCAACAGCCAAAGAATTGATAGAATCTCAAGGTGCTATAAGTGCTTTAAGTGCGGCATTAGCTTATATGAGCGGATATTCTGGTGGAATCAAGAAAAGATCATTAATGTCTGCTGATGAGGGGTATACCACATTACTATTTCGGTTTACATATCCAATTCGGCACGCTAGTTACGTTCGAAGTATTTTTAAAAAACATTATACAGATTTACCAGAGGATGCAGTTAAAAGATTTAATATGACCAAAGACATGCAAGGTGTTGTGTGTGATATTTCATCACAATATTTGGAAATTGATGAAAATGGGCATTTAATTTTAGGAGGAAGGCAGTGGTATGATACCGCAACTACTACATTAGAAGTTGCTAAAGAATTACCAGAACTATTACAAAATAACATGAGCTCTGAAAGAAATGGTGAATATAGTAATGGATATGGTAGCAATGGATATGGTAGCAATGGGTATGGTAACAATGGGTATGGTAACAATGGGTATGGTAACAATGGGTATAGAAATGGATATGGCAACAGCAATAATAATAGTGATAAGTGGAAATCTTTTAATCGCAATGTTAATGGAAAATCTAATGGATATAATAGGAATCGTGGTATTGGTGGAACGTAAATACATATTAAAGTCATCTATATCATATTTCGGATGGCTACAAATATTGGTTGATGTGATTTGTAATATGCTCTTGTAGTAGAAAATTAGGTAACACACAGAAATCTTAGAATTTTATTTAAAAGTAAGAGCGACATTAACTTAAAAAAAATACACGATAAAGAAATAATACTTTAGATTTAATAAATGTTTTAAATGTTTCACACTTATATTTGCTATTTGAATGTCTGCTTTAGCCGTAACATAGATGAGCCATCTCAAGCTAATAGAGCTACAGCTTAAAGTT